TCAGTAGTGGCAACCACACATTTAGTACTTAAATTAAAAACTGGAGGTGGGGCACCTGGGTGGCTCTTGGTTCTGGCTCAAATTGTAATCTCAGGGTTGTGAGACAGCCCCCGTTTGGGCTCCACTCTGGGCATGGAGCCTACTTTAAAAAAACAAAACGAAAAAAACAACAACAAAAAGGAAAACAAAAAAACTAACTGGTGTAGCTGGGGGCTCCCAAGTGTAGTTACCACTGAAATCAAATAAAATATAAAGGAATAACTCAGAATGCATTCACTGACTGTGAAAGCAGACTGTGAATTTTACTGCTTCAGATTAGAGGTGAAATGTCTGAATCCTCTAAGAAAGCAGGCATATATTCAGTCATCCTAAGAATCTTCAAATTGTCAAAGATACCCGGAAGTTTAAGTAAAAAAAGAAAAATAATTACAGTTCAGTAAGAATAGTAATATTGTTTTCCTTTCCCAAATTGTAAGTATTCATAAATTAAAATTTTTGTTACAAATCACATTACTACTTAGGACAGTAACTAACAAGAGAGGCCAGTGTGGAAGGCCAGGAGAGAAACAGAGGAACCAGGAATGGGATCTCTTTCTTCCCTGCTATTTAATGGAAAATGGCCGCCTCTTTTTCCCCTTTAAAAACAAAGAGCCAAAATTTGAGAGAGCCCATTGCTCACTGCCAAATTAAGCTCTGCAACTGGACTCCTGCAGAGAGAAGTTCAAATCAGAGAGATTCAATTAGACATCTTAGCTCCTTGTCTTTCTGGAGTTTGATACCCATCCAGCTATCTTCTTTTTCCCCACCTCAGCCACATTCCAAATGCCAATGATAGCATTTAAGCTGGAACTTTAAGAAGGCGACTGTATATCCACTCCCAAGCCTGCAGAAACATTCGCCTGAATGGATGCTCTGGAATCAACACTGGGTTTTGCTGCCCCCTAAACACACCATGGGCTCTGGTCTCTGCTCACACACAACCACCAGTATCAACCCCATCAGGAGGGCCTCACTGCATTGTTGGGGTTCTGAGGGGAAGAATATATAAATTGCTCCTTTCTTATTTTTTTTTATTTTTTAAAGATTTTATTTATTTATTTGACAGAGAGACACAACGAGAGAGGAAACACAAGCAGGGGGAGTGAGAGAGGGAGGAGCAGGCTTCCCGCTGAGCAGGGAGCCCGATGCGGGGCTCGATCCCAGGACCCTGGGATCATGACCTGAGCCGAAGGCAGACTCTTAACGACTGAGCCACGCAGGCGCCCCAAACTGCTCCTTTCTTATGAAATCAGCAGTTCCCAAAGTCTGGGGGCACTTAAGAACCAACTGGGGAGCTTACTGAAAGCACAGGTGCCCAGTCTTACCTGGCCCTGGAGATGGGGATTCAGTAGTACTGTCTCCAGATAATTACGTAATTATCTCCAGATAATTACGTATGCCAATGTTTGAGAACACAGTACTAAATTAATCCTAACTTTTAACTTCGTGTGTGTGTAGTGCACACACACACTCAGAAGAAACGTAAGAAGCTGTTGGATTACTTTTCGTTTATGTGGATTTAAAAAATACTGTAGTTTAAGAAGAATACTGGTATTTATATATATTTTAGGAGGTAGCAGTTATAATAATGAAAGAAGGCAAGGACCCCTTTCACCCATGACAGTCACAAACTTGTCAGCACAAACCAAACTCTCAACCCTCCCTCCCACACCTGGTCCTTTTCCAGGTTCTTTATCTCAGTGAATGGCACTACCATCCATCCAGTTATGCAAGCGAGGAGCCAGAAGTCAGCCTTACATTGCCCTCTGCCCCCACACACCCAATCCATCACCAAGTCCTACCAAAGAGCTCCCCAAAACATCTACTTCTCTCCATTTGCATCACACTGCCTTGGTCCATGCTATTACCACCTATCACCTAGGCTATTCCAATAGTCTACGCCTGCGCCTCCTCCCTCCTACTGATTCTCATGTTGCAGCTGCCGTGACCATTCAAAAGCCAAATCTGATCAGGGCACTTCCTTCCAATCAAAACCCTTCAGTGCTTCCCCCTGAGCTAAGTCCTGAAAATGCCCTCTTAGGGCCTACTTGGCTCTGCACAGCTGGCCTCTGATTTTTCTCTCTAGCCATACTCATCCTTATCAGGAACCCTGAACTCATCCTACCCTCTTCCACCACAGGACCTTTGCACAAGTTATTCCCTGTGGCTGGTATGCTCCTTGCCTCCCTCCTTCACCTAGGGAAGGTCTCTTCATTCCTTGCGTTGCTCTGAGCAGTCATCGCTTCCTGGGGGTGCCTTTCTGTCCTTCCTGATTAACACTCCCCCCAGCAACCACCACCCCACACATACCATTATATACACTCAAGTTATTCTAGGATTACTGTCTGTCCCCCTCACCAGACTGTAAATCCATGATGACAGGGAGTATTTCTGTGTCTGCTCATCTTGGTAGCCTCAACATCTAGCAGAGTAACACACAGATGCCCACTGAACTAATGGATGAATGTACAAATAGACTCATTGTGCCTTACATAGAGAATGTGATGATGACAAATGACTAATCCTAGCCAGCACTTCTCACCACCACATGGGAAAATCTTAGCTATCTAATTCACCATCTGCCCATGGTAAAGGAGGAGGGATACACAGAAAACACATCCCATGAGTCCTTCCCAATTGATTGGGGGGGGCGGTGTTTGGAAAATGTATCAGTATATTCAGTAAATCCTGTGCCTGTTAAAATATTTAATGGACATTGTCTCATGTAACATTATGAATTAGGTACTGCCAACAGCCCCATTTTATTGACAAGAAACCTGTAACAAGAAGCTAAGAAACAAGGACTTATTCCACACTGGATATGTACCCAAGAGAAAAAAAATTAGTGGAAAAGGCTATATATTCCCAGAGAGGCAAGGTAATCTCAGAAATTGTCTTAAAATTTTGGCACAGGGCAGAATTTTGAACATGCTTTCACAGTTTTCCAATTGAAGGGAAAATCTGCTTTTATATTAGCAACTTCCACATCAAAACTTTAGAAATGAACAGCTGCGGCATCTGCCAGTGCCCCGTAAGGCAGTTCAGCACTAAACTCAGAAAAGATTTGAGAGAGCTTGGCCTTGCATCATTCCTAAGCTTGACTGCTGTGGTTTTCCTTTCTACCACCCTATGCCTCCTTCCTATCGCAATGAAGCAAGCAAGTGTGGTGGTTAAGGAGGAAGGGGGACCACAGGTCACCCTTGGCTGAACCAGAGGCACAAGGACTGCTTCCTGAGCCAGCTCCGTGGACAAACCTCCACACCTTTCTCCCGATGAGAAGGACCCACAAGACCAAACAATCAGCTGAACAGAGGGTGTGGTGTCTTCTGGACCTCAAACCATCCTCCTTGGGAGTCTACAAGTCACACATGAGTAGAGCCCCAAAGCAGTTGTGGGAAAAGCAAAACCAGACACACCCTTGGAGTGCCCAGGCTGCTCAAATCCTACCCACAGCCCTCAAGCAAGACTCAGCTGAAGGGTAACTTCTCAATAGTCCACCCATTTCCCCATCAGATGGTTTTCCTTCTAATTGTGTTCACTTGACCTAAGCCTTTTTTCCTCTTTGGTGGCACTCAGTGTTCCAGCTTCTATTTCAAGCATTTGCACATGTCCTGGCTTGGGTTCCAGACTGTAAGCCCCCCAAAGACAATCTTGGTCTCACCCATCTGTGCCTTGCACACACAGCTTGCAGGACAGATGCTTGCTGAGTGAACGAACACTCACTCTAACAAGTGGTGATTCGAGAAGCAGTATTGAGAGAAAAAACAGCAAATATTTCATTCATACTGTTTCATAAATAAAGTTGTCCACTGACAGAGTTTAGATATCAAAGATACTTTTTTTAAAAATTTTATTTATTTATTCATGAGAGACACAGAGAGAGAAAGAGGCAGAGGGAGAAGCAGGCTCCCAAGGAGCAGGGAGCCTGATGCGGGACTTGATCCCAGGACCCTGAGATCATGACCTGAGCCAAAGGCAGACGCTTAACCATCTGAGCCACCCAGGCGCCCTCAATCAAAAATACTTTGCCTGCTGAATTCAAGGGATCAGGTAGAAGCCCAAAAACCCAACTATTCAAATGTATGTATCTTTATACATACCATTAGAATATACCTGCCATACGAAATTAAGAGGGAGCCTTAAAAAGTGAGGAAATTCTAACACATCCTGTAACATGGATGAACCTTGAGGACATTATACTAAGTGAAATGAGCCAGTCTCAAAAGGACACAAACTGTGTGATTCACTTATATGAGGGACCTAGAATAGTCAAAGTCGTAGCAACGGGAAGTATAAGGGTGGATCCCAGGGGCTGGGGAGTTAGTGTTTAATGGGTAGAGAGTTTCAGTTTCAAAAGATGAAAAAGTTGTAGAGATGGGTGGTGGTGGTGGTGGTGAATGTACTTAATGCCACTGAACTGCACACTTCAAAATGGTTATGATAGTAAATTATGTTATGTATATTTTACTACAACAAAAATAAATTACAGTTCATTTTGATAAATGAGAAAGAAAAGCAATGATGGAAACTGGTTTACTGCCTTTTTTCAGGGTGGTACCTTAAAAGCTGAACTCTGCTTCCTTTCCTTTAGTGAAAGAAAGAAAACCATACCTACAGTAATGTCCTGACTGCCGCTCTGCAAAAGGCTGCATAGAGCTGTGTGTCCTGAGTGAGCGGCTGCCATTTACACCAGGTTTATTATCACAGGCATTGTAAATGCCTGGGTGCCATGTGCAAGTTTCAAATGAAAAGAAGAATTTTGTGTAGGAAAAAAATTTTCTCATCATGAATGATCATCTTAATTATGTAACTTAGGCAAAAACTCTATTGGCTTCTGAATCTGACAGCATATTAACAGAGAAATATATTTAACCTTACAGTAAAGACTTGATTAATCAAGAACTCCTTTTAGAGAATCTACGATTTACTGGTAGCAAATCAGCATCGACTACACAACCAACTTGTTTGAAAAACTAGAATTCCGTATGTCTTTTATTGCAATTTTTAATGAATCCAGGTATCTTCTCCATCATGATTCAGAACAATTAAAAAATGTGAAATCCTCTCCCCAACATCGAGTCACAGTTCACCTGTGTCAAAGCAGGTAAATATATACAACTTTCCAAGAAATGCTGGTCACAAAGAACCTGCCTTGTTCCCACCACTTAAATGAAAGCGTATCCCCCCCAGGCCTGGCCAGCAGTCGAACCCTGAGAGCAACATAATCAGATGTAAGGGACAGAGGTGCAGGCCCTTGAGTCAGCTGGTATTTATGATGTGGACCAGGAGCGCACGACCAGAGAGCAGGGCAGCCTTCCTTCATCTGCAATTCAAGTCCACAGCTCAGCCTCGTTAAGAGATAGGAATCCTGCTGCCACCAGCAAATTCCCGGGTTAACAGAGCACAGCTTCACAGGCCTGGCGTAAAACGGGCTGGAAAGGAGCTGCCCGCCAGAAAGCCGGAGCCTCCTAAGCTCGAGGCCCTTTAAAGCATCAAAGGAAGATTTGGGGCGCATTTGGTTCCGACCCATGGAAGGACTCAGAGTTGATGGGCGTCGTCGGAAGCCACCTGACTCTCCGGTCATTTAGACAACTTGTCTTATTAAGAAACTTCCAAGTTGCATGAGAAGACACTTTTCAAGCAGACAGAACTTTTCTTTTACAAAGGACCACAAACTACTGGGGCGGGGACGGGGACGCTCACAAACAAAAAGACCGTAGATCGAAAAGCAGCTCAGTCGTCGTTTTCTTCAGGAGTTCCACAAAAGGACCAACCAATGACCAAGCAGGGGGCCGATTCCCTCCCTCCTGCCCTCTCGCCGTCGACAGAAGAACCCCGTCCCACCCAGAAGCGCCCCAACACGTCGCCCAGGTACCGCCGCTGGAAAAAAACGCGTGAAGCATCCCCACCGGCCCCGACACCGGGCTACTTACTGGTTTCGGCATTTTCGGTTCCTGACGGGTTTTCCTCAGTCCCCTGGAAACACGACTCTGCCGCAGCAGCTGAGACCGCTCTCCGGACCTGGAGGCAGAGGAAAGCCCTTCAGAGCGCACAGCAGCCTGCCGCCTCCTGCCGCCGCCGCGCCCGACACTCGGCGCCCGCCCCGCGCGCCGCTGCTTAAGAACCGGCCGGGCGGGCGCCGGCTGAGCCACCGCCCAACCTGCAATTACGGCGGGCCGGCCGGGCCGCGCGGGGGAGGGGGCCGCGCGGGAGACGTGGGCGGAGGGGGAGGGGACCCGGCGGGGTAGGCGCGGGGCCCAGCTCGGGGACGCGGAAGCGGGCGGGGCGGTACGCCGAGGTGCTCCTCGGACTTCCAGGAAGCCAGCCGGGAGCCCAGCAGACACCAAGTTTCACTTTGTGAAGCAACCGTTTGCCCCAGGGCTGAAACCGCAACCGTCAAGCCTTTGAGAAACGCTTTTAAAAAATGGTCCCCGCCCCGGAGGGGCCAGAGGGCCACGGGCCGAGCGAGGCGGGAGGGGCGCGGGCAGGACGCGCGCCCACGCAGCCCGGGCTCCGCGGGCACTTCGGGAGGGGCACCCCAGGGGGCAGAGTCGAAAGAGGAAGGTCTGGAGCAGCAGGGGCGGCCACACCGGTAGGTTCGGCGTCACCTGCCGCTGATTTGGGCCAAAAGAGAGAACCAAGCGCCAAAGGCCGGACGGGGACCCCCACCAGCCCGGGACCCGGGGACCCCGAATCTGGCCGACGGCGGGGCGAGCCCGGCTCTTCCCGGGGACCACCGGCTCGGAGCGAGCTTGCGCGCAGACCTCCTCCCCCACCCCCCCGCCGGGCCGGCCCAGCCACACCTGTCGTCGAATCCCCGCCGCTGTCCCCCCTCGGGGCGCGAACCCTTCGACCCGGGTCCTCCGCCCCCCGACCCCGGCCGAGCGCCCGGCTCACCCGCGGCGCCTGCAAAGGACCGCTGCGCTCCCGGCTGTCGGTGAGTCCGTGCAGTGCGCCCGCGGCCCGCGCTCCCGAGAGTCCTCGGCTGGGCGGGGTCCCGGGGCCGCGCCCCTGACCTCCCCGCCCGTCGGACCTGCGAGGTGCTCCCGGCGCGCAAGATGGCTGCGACTGCTGCCCGCGTCCTGGGGCGACTGCTGCCCGCGTCCTGGGGCGCCCCCCGCCACGCCACGCCCACCCCGTGGGGCGCCCCCCGCCCGCCCAGCCCCACTCTACCCTACCCCACCCGGCCGGGCGTCCGCCGAGGGCCACGGAGACCCGCGTGGGCGCGTCTCCCGCCGCCTCTCCTGGTTGCAAAGACCTTTCTCTCTTCGCCGCCTGTCCCCTTGCCCTTCCGGAGAACTTTGCCGAATTTGGTTCAACTGCTGATAGCAGATGTAAGGTGTGAGATCGTTTGCTCCACAGTGGACCGAGGGAAATAAAAAAAGTGTAAATAAACCTGGAGGAGCCGGAGGCCACAGTGCCCCGGTGCTGGGCCATTTGAAGGTGGGGCTGCCCCGGTGGTCAGGTCCTTTCGTAGTCCTTGGGCCACGACGAGGCCCGGTTCCCAGAACCCCGGGCCGCTGTGTCTCGGCGCACGTGGTCAGAGCCCCTGCCTTCGGATTCGGCTGAGGGGACACAAGCATAGAAGACGCTCCACGGTGGAACGCTCTGCTTAAAGGACACATTGTGGTCTCGTTTGGGTAACTATGGTAAAATCACAAAGACTGAGATTCTGGGAATTATTTTAAATAATTTTTAAAAATGGTTCTCAAGAGGAATTTTTTTAAAAACACATGTACTTCGGTGGCCAATAGGATTTGTGGCACAGTGATTAAGACAGCTAACTCTAGGGCAGTGGTTCTCAAAGCGTGCTTCCCAGACTAGCTGCCGTGGACCTCACCTGTGAACTTGCAGAAATGGAAATTCACAGGTACCGCCCTCGGAATCAAACTCGGGCCAGGGCCCAGCAGTCTGTGTCTTCTGCGCTCCAGGTGATGCGGGCTAATGCTTGAGACCAGAGCCTCCTCTGAATTCCTTTCCTGGGCTCACCACTAACTCCTTACTAGAGAGAGTTATTTAACTAGTTTGTGCTTTCACATCTGTAAAATGGCATAATTATGGCACCTATTTCACGGGGTCATTATGAGGATTAGAGGTAATATATGTAAGATGCCTCGAACAGTGCTTAAATCTATCCTGGTACAGAGAGTAACCAGTGACTTTCGGCAAAGCACCAAATAAGACAGTTTCCCAGTGTGTCTAGCAGCACCACCTATATCGGCTTGTAGGGATTAAAGGATTTAATGCAATAATGCATGCAAAATGCTTAGCATAGTGTGGGCCTCCTAGTAATGCCTCAGCTGCCCAAGGGACAGACCACTCATGGGGTAGGCACCTGGCACCCCTTGTCAGTAGGCACCTGGACCCTCTCTCAGCTGCAGGTCCACGGCATTGCAGAGGTCCAGGTGAGGCCCGAGGCCTTTGTCCTGTATTCTGACAAGTGTGTTCCTTCTGAGACTTTCTTTTATATTAAAATGGAGATGTGAGGGTAACTGCAGTAGGAAGACACTATGAAAAGATATTAAATAACCTATAATGATAATGGTTCGGATTGGATATGTCACTCCAAGCACACTATCTCTACCTCCTTACCACCGCCTAAAGCCTCGTTAGCCATTTTTGGTCCCCAACTCTTCTGATAGGGTAGGTCTCTAATCTAATTTTTTTTAATCATACACGGTTTATAGCACATTGTCTTTTAAACTAGATGTTTAAAATAGCAGTGGTCCGAGACCTTCTGGAGCATTTCTGAACTTTACCCTTCAGGGGAATGCTTAAACTGGCCTGCAGCAGTGTGATCAAAATGAAAAGATTGCATTCTCACAACATGTGAATCTACAGTTATCTCAAAAAGCTTAATGAAAAGAAAAGATCACAAGTTTCAGGAGCAAATAGAGCTAAGTCTGAATTCTGGGTGCAATACTGACATGCCGATCCTTTTGGGCAAGTCTCTTAAAGTGATTGAGCTCCCACCTCTTCATCTGTAGAGCGGACATGATATATATTTCGTGGTGTTCTTGTGTCACTGAGTCATATAATGGAGCATTTAATTTTGACTTTTCTCCTGTAAGCTAAAATAGTATAGAGACACAGTTTGCATACACATTCCTCATGCGTCTTACTCTAAGTCTTATACTTACATGCTGCGCTGCAGGGTTTTCTTCCCCTGTGAAAACATTCGTGCTGTATCTTATGAGTGTTTTAACGGGATTTACCGGGGTAATTTATTTTCACCTAACCTTGGGACCTAAACCCCTCCCTTGCCCCTGCCCCGTCCCCCAACAACACAGAAGACTGAATTCCAAGGCATCTATAAGAACTGCTTAGTACAGTGGTACTGAAGCTTTAGTGTGCATTGGAATCACTCAAGGAGCCCCCTCTAGGAATCACAGGCCAGTAAGGGTCAGGTGAACCCTGGGATCTATGGCTTTAACAAGTCCCCAGGTGAGTGATATATTTGAAAATTTGAGAACAGCTGACTTAGGGTGGGTCAGGATCCTGACAAATGTTACTTACCTTGCCTCGAGGCTTCACGCTCCTTTTGTGAGGTGATCCCCCTGTATTTGTAAGTCATGGTTTTGTTCCTGTTTGATAATCAATGTCATGGAAGGAAGGAAGAAAAGGTGGAGCTGGGAGTCTTGGATACCATTCCCTGCTCTCATTTAACCTAGCTGTCACCTTGAACGCCCTCCTCATTTCAGGATTTCCATTTTTCAGCTAGAGGAGGGAAACCATATGTCTCCCCGAGAACCTGGTGAAAGGCTCTTGGTAAATTGGTTGGAGTTCTTCAGCCAAGGTTGTACTAAAGTGAGTTAGGGAGGCTCTCCTGGTGGCTTTAGACCCAGCAGCAAGGACAAGAACATCCAGGTCCCCTGAGGGCAGCCTTCCTGTGAGATCACCCCTGAGCCAGTCTCCACACTAGTGCCAGGTTATCGCAACCAATAAAAAAAGTTCACAAATAGTATGACGGTCTCTAGCTTCTTTTGCTGCAACAGAGCCGTCAATCGGCAGTAGGGAAATACATAGGGTACCCTTGGCCAAACAAGGATTGGGGTTATTTTTCAGGACTCAGTAACCTTGTGTGAAAATTCAGGACAGTGGGCAAAAGAGCAAAGTATGACTAAGAACTCAGACGGCCAGACAGGTGGCTACTCCCTTGTGTCTAGAAATAATGTTTAAGGGTCTTCGCAGGATAGTAAGCTGGGAGTCTCTTGGTACTGTGTTGATGGTACAGCGTATATATTTTGGATCTGCGAAGAATTCTGGCCACTCAGTGTTCTATTTTAAAGTTTCCTTGGCTAATTTAAAAATTTGCATAAATAACCTTACAGAGTTTTTATGTAGAGTATTAACGACCACGCAACTCTTTGACTAATAAACTCCCTAATGGCATTGCTTCTTTTATCATTTTTCTTTCTTTTTTTTTTTTTTAAAGATTTTATTTATTTATTTGACAGAGAGAGACACAGCGAGAGAGGGAACACAAG